AGGCGTCCAAGGGAGATGAAATTAAAACGGGAGGGTCGCGCATGGTACATATCCCCAAAGTTTCAGCCTTTTAGCTTTTCTAGGTCTCGAGCTGAAAGTTTGTGACAAAAAGTTCGAACACACAGACACACACACACGCAGACAGCATCCTCCCAATATGCGTTTTCGCAATTTACATATATGCAAAAACGCATAAAAAAGTATGATCTCACGGCAAGTCTGGTGCGTCCCTGACTTCGTTTTTATGCATTTTGTGTTGTAGTAGTTGCACAGAACGCATACTATTAAGATTCTGTGCGTGCGTATGTGTGTACATGTGTTTGCGCGCATGCGTCTGTGTGCGTTCTGAGCGCATTTTATCTCGGGAACCAGAAAAGCTAGGAAGCTAAAGTTTTAGGAGAATATCCCGTCTCTGCGCATGATATTGCATTCTCAGATTTGGCCTCCGCTCGCGCACGCCTAGACTTCATATAGGAACGAGTGAAACTTCTGGCTTCAAAATTAATAACTTGGGGTTTCAGAATAATGCTCCTGTCCGCGTATAAATTTGGCCCCTGTCACGCCCTAGTCTCAGATATAGATATGCGAATATTTTGGGACTAAAATTAATAACTCAGGAACCAAAAAGCTAGGAGGCTGAAATTTTAAGATAATGCTCCCCGAATTTATATTCGTTCCCACGCGCGTCTAGATTTTATATACGGTGGAATAAAAGCTTTAGCGCCAAAACTGACAACTCAAGAAACAGAAAAGTTAGGATGCTGAACTTTTAGAAGAATGCTTTCTGGCCATACGTCCCCCGTGCACACGTATAGGCAAGTGAAGGTCTGGCGCCAGAATTAATAAGTTGGAAACTACAAAAGTTATGAGGCCAAAATTTTAGGAGAATATTCACTGTTCGCGTATGATCAAATGATGAGCTTTAAAATCAACCCTTATGCGCGTCTCGTTCTCACAAGGGGCGCTTCAAAGTTTTCGCGCAAAAATTACTAACTTGGAATTTATAAAAGCTAGGAGACAAAAATTTCTGAATAATGCTCCTGTCCACGAATAAACTAGTCCCCACACGCGCCAAGATTTCATGCTCAGAAACGTGGAAGTTCTGGCGCTATAATTAATAACTTGAGAATTCCAAAAACTGTTCTGCGTATCGAACAATAATGCTGTAGACAATTTAACAGCAAGGTTTCCTGCACAAAGATCCACAGGTGTCCGCCGGATAGAACTGCGCAAACCTTCGTTGGATAGGGTTGCAAAAAGCCCACGATCGCATAAGCTATTCTGGTGCGCATTTCTATTTATTTCTTTTTCACAAAAATGGCAAATTTTGCACATTTCTGAAAGTTTCAGATGCTACTGGAAGCTCGTCGTTGCTATCGACAAAGGATCTCCACTTGCCTCTGCCCATCGGTACCATAAACAGGTACCAACCCTACTGGACAGGCGGATCATGCCAACTGATCAGCCAGAGACACATTCCTCACGCAACTTCATTGAGTTTACCAGATTACTGCATGCTGATGAATCCATCTAGCGCATCTCGCTCCAAAAATTCCATTCAGTCGCATTCAACAAGACGCCACGACTCTTCTGACAGCTCACATTTGTCTTTCATGCGTCATGGTGATTCGGAAGATTTTCAAGTAATTGGTGAGTTGAAAGAACCGTCTGCGGCACTGAAGCCAATTTTGGCTCCAAATACTTCGGAAGTCCCTGGAATAAACATTCCCACAGTGTGGAGTTACAGTGCTCTGTTTCATCATCTTCCAGTACCGTATTCATCACTTGCGCCAAACCATCCGCCCTTTTAAAGTTCAGATGTTTTGCCGAACTAAAAGCTACCAGTATCAATTCGTTCCGTTCATTATGTTTGTTCAAATTACGGGTGAACAACCGCACATTTCCTGAAATGTTTCAATAAAAAATAGAAGTAACACTAACTGGAATTCAGTGCACTGTATTGGCGTTTTTGCGATCAGCTAGCGAATGATAGTTAATCATCGGCCAAATCGCTATGATGAGGTAATTTTTAAAAGTGCCTGCATCGTTACAAATAACTGCGCGAAACTTCATCGAGAACTTCGGCTTAAAAGCTTGTTTCGCCTCAAATCTGTGGTACCAGCCCATTTTTCATCACATGAATCAATAGAGGAATAACAGTTAAAACAAAATTCATCCTCTCCCTCTCTGCCGTCTCACGCAGAAAGATAATCTAGAGCTTTTATTGTGCCAAATTCTAAAATAATACAGTTAGCCCAAATGCATGCCTCTGCTCACAATTGAGAATGCAATAAGATAGATAACCGGATTTTGGGTTACTTGTCTTAATTTATTCTCATTTAAATGAAGATTTTCCTGCCCAACGCGGTTGCAAAGTTAAATAGCCACAAAGTTGCCGATTTTGTTTGTGCTTATTGCGAGGCCTACGTTTGCTTCAAAGCTAACTTTGAAGTTCTTAGGTCTCACTTAAAATAGGATAGCCTTGCAGAATTTCGGATTGCTAGCTTTTCTAGTTGCAGAGTTGAAGATGGGCAACAAATGTAACCCGAACATACAGGCAGGCACAAAGAAACCTCTCGGCACTATGTATTTTTGTTCCCTGCTGCAGTGTAATGGCAAAGCACGGCTAAAACGCATAAAAGCTTTGGCTAGGTAACGATTTCGGGAACCAGACAAGACAGGTACGACTATGTTGTAAGCAAGAGCACGTGAAATTTCAGTAAAAAATTTTGTAGCCCTACAAACAGACAGCATCTTGGCTGTTATTGCACACACCAAACTATAAGATGGTGAACATTCTTGACAGCAAACGTTTGCTAAACAGAATTGCACAAACGCACAATCGCACATTGCCTATCATGGTATGCATCGATATTACTTAATTACCACTACTTTTAGCTGCGGCTGTAATTCTTAACATCTCCCTTCGATCGCTGTCTGAAGTGTCTGCAGTGGAGAGGATACCCTACGCTTCAAATTTTATCCATATTCCTGTTTCTTCTGTCCAACAGCCAGATATATAACCGAAAGCAACTGCGCTGTAAAATCATCAGCATCGTCATACCGCATTCATTCATAATGAATCAGCAAGGGCTACAGTACTAATGAATTAAACCAAATTATGCAACCAAAGCTTCGGAGATTGTCGGCACTGACAAAAATGCCAAGTAATGGGAGGCCTGTACATTGCTCTAAATCCTTCCCTGGCAACTGTGCACTTCGCCAGAAACTTCACTGGCGGCACATATTACACATGCAAACGGTCAACGGCTTAATGAAAGCTTAAAGGATCGGTGAGCCGATGGTGAAGGTGAGAAACGAAACAATATGAGGGAGGAGGAGGGGAATGCACAGTTGCTCTGTTATCGTTCTTATCAACACTTACGATTCCAAACTGCCGCAAAAGAAAAAAATACAACCCCAAAAAACTGCGGCGCGCAGCAGGGCAGCTGGTGTGATCGTGCACTTTGCGCAGTTCCGTTGAGCAGATGCCTGTTGTAAACGAACGCGAAAATCGTTGAAGCGTCCCCTGGTTTCCGGACTGGTGTAATTTTTCCCCATCAAAAACTTCGCGTGTTTGCACATGAGATGTGGTGTTATGTGAAAACAAAGTTTAAATTTTTGAGGTCTCCGCACCTAAACGGGAAGATCTCCCAGAACTTCAACTTCTTGCCTTCCACGATTTCTGATTTGGAGAGATGTCAGCTAATTTAACGTCTGGAGTTTCATGTGTCCATGCCCGAGGCACACATAATCGCCAGGTTTATACTTACACAACCGCGCACAAAAACATAATTTCAACTTCGTCTTGTCTGATTCCCAAGCTAAATAGCATCCAGCGCGAAATTTCACATATCTGTAGATGATAAGCAGGGTACACTTGAAGCTAAATTTGAAATTACAAGATGGAAAACTGGCAGGAAAGATCCCCCTAATATTTCAGTTTCCTATCTTTCTAATGTCCAAGTTAGTAAATCTCTCACCAGCACTTTCATGCCTCTGTGTACGAGAACTAAACGAACATGGAAAATGCATTAGAATTTTGTAAGGCAGTAAATAAGCAAGAAATATCCTCTTAAAAACTTTGCGTGTGTGTGTGTGTGTGTGTGTGTGTGTGTGTGTGTACGTGAGACCTAAGCATGTTTGAAAGCCAAATTCAAACCTGGGGAATTCGCGGACTGCTCACAAGCTCGAAGGTACTCCAATCCGACTGTTAGCTGCTAGCGGAAGTACTGCCACCGCGGCTTTAACACTTGCAAAGTGAGCGAGGATTTAGGATCCAAGACTTTCCATCACTTATTAAGTGAGAATTTAAGACTGGGAAATAACGAAGGTAATGTTTTGGCCTATAAATTACACGAAAGATTGCAGTGCTACTACTAAACACCTTTTCCCTCTCAGAAGAAGGCAAAAACAAAGATTTTGCTTTATGGAACTGTAGCGAATTAGCCGAAAGAAGAGGTGTCAAGTCATCTGGCGATGGGTTTAATTTTATAGCACTCAAATTAACTGACCAACACACAGAACCGGTGCACTATCTTTGCTGATGACCTTTTTTTGATGCTACCGCCTTACGCAAGCATCTCTGCTGACATGCGCCGCTGTAAACGATATCTCAGTCTATCGCAACCGTAAGTGGTAGCGGTTAACTTGCATTTACTTAAAATCTAACCTCTCCACGCTCTGCATAAAAGACTGCAGACAGGGCCGAGTAACTCATCTTACCCATTGATGAGATGCTTAAGAATGCATACGCATTGGCAAAATCAATGTTTTATTCAGGTAAGTATTTAACAGTTATTAACAGAAATTTCTAAAAATCACAGACAGACGTCGTCAGATAACTATAGCAATTACGCATGTAAGATTT